CTTTTTTTCCCACCCAGCATTAATGAGGTATTTTGCATACAGCTGAACATCATCATGAAACCCAAAAGGATCTCCCAGGTTTTAAATCTGGCACAAATCCTGTTGTGCCTGCAAAGGAAGGAAGTGATTTATCCCTCAAACGGGTACTTGGATGATTCGTAGGCATTTACTTTTTGTTGAATTTGGGATACTTGAGTTTTTGTTGCCATTCTATAGCTACTCCAAGCATTATAAGAGGACACAAAATAAACTGCCTAAAAATAACTGCCAGGGAATTATTAGTTGGAAGTTGAGGTAGGAGCCAGCTGCCTGAAAACAAAGCCTGTCTGGGGCTTTTGGGGGCTCAGAGGTACCACTGCACTGTGTCACCCCTCTTTCAAGTCCAGTATTTCATGAAGCACCTACAAGATCCAGTTCATCCCCAAAGGAAAGATAATTTTAATTCCAATCCATGCAAGACTCCATGTAACAGCTCCTGTAAGATGCAGAATGAAATGAAAATGAAAAATCGGGGTTTTTGCACTGTGTAGCCCAGTGCAGGGCAGTCCTGCTTAGCTGGGTCACAAGGGGTTGACTTTTTGCCATAAAGCATTGCTGTTAAAATAATATTAACCACGAAATACACTGAAATAGGCTGCTCCAAGAAACTGGATGAGGGTCTTTCCCTCCTTGCCTCTGTTTCCCACTTGCCTTAGCACAAGTTATGTTTTAGCCTTATCCATCAGAGGCTGCCAAGCATATTTCCAGGAACCTCTCTTACATGTCCTTAGACTTGATTCTGCAGAGGACAGAATGACAAATACTTTTATTTACCCACCAAAATTCACTCACTAGGTAAAATAAAATCAAAAGCAGCCAAGAAGGGAGGAAGAAGAAAGGGAATCACAAGCCAGGCATGCTAAAACCCAACTGCTGGCTGACTGCACATCAGGGGAGGGAAAAATGTGCCATGAGCTGCTAGTTATAAAGATAATTATATCCTTGATGAACAGCGGGGTCTTCTGGAAAATAGTTCTTCTTGACTGAATTAATGGAGGCAAACCACAGGTTTCAGACAGGCACTGGCAATGTCTGTACAGCCCTGACTTCGCCCACCCTGAGCTCAAGTCATCTCTGGCCGAGGCCACCATCAAATCCCTGCTCACAAGAGCAGGGTGGAAGCAAGGAGAGATCCCCACTGGATTCTGTGCACCCAAACCCAGGGGCTGAAGGGAACCAGCCACATCCCTCCTGCCTTCCCAGGGAGAATTGTGGTGTCCTACAATGCCATCCCAACACCTTAATCCAACGTTAGAGCCGGGTTCGGAGTTATTTTTAAATCATCAACAAAGCACTGGATGCCAGGGATGTCGGTTCGGTCGCAAAGCCATGGAGAAAGGAGCAGCCACCACACTCCAGACCTCAGGAATGTGCTAAAGGCAAACGTACTCTCCTTCCACCCCCGGGATTATTTTTTCCTTCAGCTATTTCAGTTGATTGAGGCTAAAATAAGAACAGGGAAAAGTAACACCAAGGTTAAAAGTGCCTGGCATTGGTTTGGAGACAACACGCTGTGATCCTGCTGGTTCAGGTTTCAACGTGTGTTAAACACAGATTTTCTGCTACGTGGGACTAGCAAACATTTTATTGAATTACCTTCAAGATAAAAAAAATCACTGCCTGGGCAATCTAACAGATCTCCCATGAAGAATCACATATTGAGTAAATACAAAAAGCTGTTAGGGAGAAAACCAAAATAACCTCACTGTCACCTTGGTGCGCCCATCACAGGCTGCACACAACAGCAGCTTCACTAAATACTTTCAGCACAGAGTTTCCAGACTGAAATCTGCAGCTGAGCCACGTGAACAGCCCGGGAATCACCAGAATCATTTGTTTTCCTTTTCAACAGAGACTTCTCGATGTGGTTTTCCTCCCTTCCAGCTGAAGAGCACACGGAGATTTTGCACCTCTCTGCAACGCACCCCCCCCCCAGCGCTGCTGCTTTCCCAACAAATAGCACCTAAAGGATACAGGGATGCCCAGGGGCATCACCCTTGGCTGAAACTGGGGGGTTTTCACCCAGGCTGTTGCCTGCCTCCCCCTGGAGTGCTTCTCTGAGGTGTCAGGATGTGTTTTCAGATCCCCAAAAGCTCATGTTCTAGGAGCACAGAGACAAGGGACTGAAACCATGAAGCAGCTTCATTAGAGGATTTGATGATTAAAAGCACCCAGCTCTGCAGGCAGTAATGGCAGCCAGGGATGAAGATTCCCTGGTAATCACCCACCCACAGCAGGAACTGACCTGGCAAACCCCAGCCGTGGCTGTATTTTAGAGCAGCAAAAGGCATTTAGCTATCTGAGTGAGCTGAAACGCTGCATTTCCCCTCTAATGGGCTTTTAATGCTGGCTTGGTGCAGGCACTGTGCTGGGAAGGGCTCTGACCACAGCCACGGATTTGGGGCCCAAACCTGCCCCAAACTTCCCCCAAAAAATGACAGAGCCAGACTCTGCATCCAGTCAGGGAGGCAGAACAAAGTTGCCAGAGCAGAGCAGTGACTCCAGACTCCCACCCACGGCTTTCCAAGACCTCCCTCAACTCTGCCACAACCCCAACATTGATTTCTAGCCCTGTGGAAAGGTGAAAGATGCCAAGCCCATCCTTAGCCATTAGGAGGTCTCATTTCATTCCATCCAGGCCATGGCATTTGTATTTGCATTACTGTGGGAGGCTGAGGTGCCAGTGCTTCACTTAAACTCAGCATCGTTTCAGAGTGATCAATGCAACCCTATTCCTCAAAGCCAAGAGGCTTCCTGACCACATCACCCAGCCTCCAGCCAGCCCACCAACCCCACCTGCCACTGGTTCCTGCAGGAAAACAACTGGCACCTATGGGAGCAGTACAAGGAATTACAGGGTGGAGGCTATTTTGTTGTCCCTATCCACACGCTTCTCTTTGGATGCATAGGAAGTTTTGAGTCCTCTCCATACCAGAGATGTTTTAGTTTATTGTCAGGAATTTCTAACAGGGCACTCTGTAAATATTGGGGATTTTCTCAGAGAGGCAGCAGCCTTAAATTCGAGTTTAAAGGGAGCTTTAGCTTTTGATAAAGGAGGCACTCAAGCTGCAATCAGTGGCAGGCATTACCGAGCGTGCTTTGGGCTGAGAGAGGACACAAAGCACTTTCATTCCTGTTTTCCAGGAAAGGTCACACACACTGCCTAGAAGTTTTGTTTTTAAGAAAGCATAATTTTCTATAGACTGTGCAAACACAGTGCTGTACAGCACAGAGAAAAGACACAGGGAATCAAGAAGATATTGATGTTTTACCGACCTTATTTGCAACTGCCTCTTACCTCTCACAGTAAGTTATCTACACCTAAAAGAAATCCAAGCAGCCCGGCACAGAGCTGCGTGTGGTGCCAATCATCACTGCCCCAGTAACAGCAAGAGCCTGCCTCATCCCCTCCTCCCCGAGCAGCCTCTGCAGGAAGCTGCAGTCAAAACCCAGAAAAAGCCTCAATGGAAGTGGTTACCTCGGGGTACAGCTGGATCCCTGGCTTGCTGAATGAGACTTTTAGGATGGCTGATTCCCTGGCTGCCATTGCTTTTTAAAGACTGCAGCTAGTGGTGAAGTTTCTTAAACCTCAAGCTTTAAGAGAAAGGTTTTTCTCTCAGACCCTTCCCTTTTAAAAAAAAAAAAAATCTCATTTTAAAATACCTGCATTGGTGCAAATCACCTTGATTTCTGAGCACTCAGTTGCCACTTGCAATTTCAGTGCAGCCCTGACTTTTTACACCAGAAAGGTGTAAAAAGAGTGGGTCTTTTTGTTAAATGTGCTCAAAATAGAAAATCCTAGGAGGAGAATGTAGTGAAAAACATCAACAGCACCAAGATGAGCTGTCACTGGGCACCTGGTTCACACAAGAAGCAGCATCCTGCTGCTCCAGAGCCCACTGGAGATGGAAAGGAGCAACCTGGAGTACTTTTAAAAGTTACAGCTCCCCAACCAAGAGAAGGGAGAGTCAGGAAAAGGAGACGGGGGCAGGGAAAAAAGAGCAGAGAGAAATCCTAGCTAGCAGGAGTTAGTGCTTTCTGCACAGGGCTGTGCAGCCCTTCCCGGCAACCCAGCAGGAAAATGTGCCTCGTCCAAGGGCACGGGCTGCTCCTGCCCTGCACAGCTGAGGAGTAGTAAATAGTTAATTACAGTAGTAAATAGTTAATTACATGGTACAGATCAGCACATCATGGGCAGCACGGCTCACTGCGTTACTCACCAGGGATTGGGGGAAAAAAACAGCACAGGGGAAGGAAGGGAAAGAAGGAAAAATTTGTGCTGCCTCGAGGAGCACTTTTTGTGGAAGATCAGCGTTAAGATGAGGGGGTGCGGTTTCCCTTTGGAGCACCTTAAATAAACACACTTTTACAAAGCACCACCAGCACCACCCCCCCTCCGAGCTTTTGTTGCGGGTACACAGGTGACAAGCACGGCACAAGTCTTTACCTGTTGCACTGAAATGCCAGGAGCAGCAAAGAAACCGAGGCATCCCATGGAAACAAGCACACAACGCCAGCGTTTCCAACCCCTCCACCCGTAAATCCCAGAACATCCAACCTCAGCTCTTTGAAGGGACACTTCTGGCTGCCTCCTCTTCCCTGCGGCTCAGGAATGGGAAGACAGACTGCAAAGGCAGTAATCAAACAATTCCAACAAAAGGCACGGACCAGAGACAGAACTCGCCTAGCAAGCAGGGAATCCCCCTACAAAGCAGGCTGCGTCCCACAGCATCACCACCTCACTGCTCCTGAGGCCAAGCGCCCTGGAATCATTTCTCCTTTTCCTTTCCCTACTGCTGTGTCGCCAGCGAAGCCAGGCTGGAGCCTGGCCGGGCTTTGGGAGGGCGGTGGAAGCGCGGAGGAGGCGGCCGGGGCTGCACGCCCGCGCCCAGCACAGAGGGAGTCCCGGGGAGCCCGGCCCCGCGGCCCCGGGGAAGTTGTGTCGCGGCGGCCGCACTTACCCAGCACGAAGCAGAGGAAGCGCCGCGGCAGGAGGGCCATGGCCCCGCGGCAGGAGCGGCTCCGCTCCCGGGGCCGGGCGGGCTCCGCGCCCGCGGCGCTGCCGGAGGGAGGGAGGGGCGGGCCGGGGGCGGGCGCGGCCCCGCCCGGCTCCTGCTCCGCTCTCCCGGCGGCAGCGCGGCCGCAGGAGGGGCAGCGCTCCCGTGGGGGCAGCGGGATGGAGATGGAGATGGAGATGGAGCCCGGGCTCTCCTTATCGCCCTCTGCCCCTCGCAGCCCAGGGACCTCCGAAGGGAGCGAACAGTTCCGAATGAAAGCACGGAGCAGCCCGCCTTCCTCACGCGCTTTCCGCAACCCCGCTTCCACCTCCAGCGAGGGGATTTCTCCCTAGCTAAAACATCCTGCCTTCCCCCCTTTCTAGGGCTGAACATACACACGGAATGCGATTTTAAGGAGGAATGTTTTGTGGCTTCCGCTTTAATGTTTATTGGAGTGTAACACCGCTCCCGAGCTCCTAGAGCTCCACCTGCAGCTCGCTGCGGAGCTGTGCCCGAGCGGCGGAGCCTCAGGTGCTCCGGACCGGGATACGCCCGTGCAGCGGGGCCGGACTCTGCCGCAGCGGGGTCACTGCCCACAGCTCGCTTCTCTCACGCCTCAGGTCAGCTCTCCCTCTCAGAGGTCAATAAAAAAGGAACACCAGAGTTTGCTAACTCGAGTCTTTCACATCGTGCACGCTTTGCTTTCCCAAGAGGAACAAGAGAGCCAGTTCCTCCTGAACTATTAACACCCGCCTAATCACAGAGCCGAGCTCGGGGAACAGCAACAGCTGCTGGTAATGAGGTGAAGAGCAAAGCCTGGGACTGCTTCCATCTTGGCAGAGCCCGAGACACCAAAGCTGAGGGCTCACCTGCAGCACTGGGACCAAGGGCACAGCACAAAGCCATGGCTCTGCCACGGGGACAGGCAGCAGAAGAGGTCTGCAAACAGCACAGCACTGACCCAACTCTTTTGAAGAACAAATTTTAACCTTTATTGACAGTAAACAAGGCTGTTCTTTCCAGCACCAATTGCAACAAAGTACAACCAAGAGACTGGGTTAGGTGAACTCTGAGCAGAATCATCTTCTCTTAAATGTATTATATACTTGTTTCTTACTATGGAAAATGGGGATCCTTTCTATCTATATAGAAGAAAAATAAACCACATAACCTAAAAACTCAGAGGTCCCGTCTTTAACTCATTCAAAATTCCTTCAAAAATCCCCATATGCAGTAATAAACCACCAGTGCACCAAGACTTATAGAATGCAACCTGTTTTACAGCTCCCAGTCCTTATAAACCGCTGCTCCAGATGATTCACCCCGGTACCTCCTGCAGGGCTGGAGGCTGCATTAATCTAGTCAGGCTGTAGTGTGGGAGTCTACTTCCCTTAGGCTGGAATATTCACCTTTTTCAGTGCTTCTGCTGCTGAGAACTCAGAATGTCAGAGGCCTTCTCCTCAATAGAACTGATGGCCATGCCACTCAGGACACCCTTGTTGATTCTTCTCACCTCCTGCACAGCATCTGCAATTTGCTCTCTGTGGGAATGAAGGAAATAACCGTGAACATCGAGTTTTGTGCCACACATTTAGTGATTGGTTAGCGTGGGTATTGGCTCCATTACAAACCAGGGCTGAAAAGAAACCCAAATATCTCACCTGCTAAAGCCTGGATGCTTTTTTTGGAGTCTCTTTATTAACTTGGTAAAGCTGCTCAAGTTCAGTGCATAAGGAGAAACAAAGATACCAGATGTGTTCACAGAGGAACAAGTGGATGTTTTCTGCAGGGAATTTTCCCTAGGATCCTAAAAGTGCATCAAAATAAGGGAAAAATGCATGGCTTAAGGGGTGTACAGGTAATAAAGCACCTCTTTCCTACAAATAAATATAAAATCCTAGACCCACAGAATGGTTTGGGTTGCAAAGCACCTTAAAGCTCATCTTATTCCTGCTACTTTAGATTCAATTACCATTTCCCAAAGGACCAGCATGTTTAAAGGGAAATCCCCACAGACAGCAAATCTGTGTGGTTTACGTGAGCAACACCAGCAATTACTGATTTGCCCTTTACTCTCCAAGGACTAAACTGAGCCAATACAAAATACTGTATATATAGGTTTCTTAGATTTATGCTGGAAAATCCAAGAGTTTCCTTCCCATCCATTACCCCAAAATCTTCCCTGTATAAAGCCACGGGACATTTACATTTAAAAAAATGGTGTTACGAGACGAAAAATCTAGTGCAAACGGGGAAATTCCAAACTGTCCTAGGATTCAGAAAGATCAGCTAGGGTGTCACAGTCTGATGCAGGGGCAAAAGAAAGGTGCTTTCACTCTTCTGCCACATGACAGAAATTTATTACCAATATGTAACATATCTTCCTATCCTTACATAATTTTCTATCTATTAAATGTTACGTGACAGGGAGATTTAAAGCTTAGTCTGCCACACAAAGTAGTGTGAGCAATAATTACTTCCCTTCTGATTATCTCCAAGTAAATGTGCCAGCTGTTGAGTAGGTGATTTCAGATCAGGGTACTTGGTAGTAAATGCAGTGTACGAAAGAAGCCTTAAAGAGGCAAGAAATTCCTCCTACAAATTAAGAACAGACCTACCTCAGGCACTGAGGGTTTTGGACCACCAACAGGAACAGAAGAATCTTCATTCCCACTCCCCACCGTCTTCACTTCTAATAATAAATGTAAGAAAGTAAAGAGTGACTGTTCTCGAGCTGTCATCCTCTCCATAGATTTTGGACAGCCTAGAGAGAAAACTTTAGAACAAACTAAGGGAGAGAAGAGAATCTCCTAAGAGAAAATGAGTGTCCTGAGAAGCACAGCAGTTCAGCTTGTGGAACATCTTTTCCCTGGGTGTTTCCTGAGATTTTAAGAGGCAGAGGAAACACAGCTCTGAAGTAACAGTACCAGTGCTGAAGGCTGGTATGGAGAACGCCCAGGCTCTCTGCCTTCAACACCCTGGGACTTCCCAGCACTGTGACTCAAGTCTCCAAACACAAACCATTTGCATCTCACTCTGAAGAGTCCAGCATGGGAAGGACACACAAAGAGAAGGAGGAGGAGAGAAAAAGAAAGATTTCCATCTATGTGATTGGCTGGGCATTTACTAATTTGAGTTCAAGCACTGCAGGTGAAGTTTTCAAGGAAAAACATGGCTGGATGAAAACAGCTGAGTACAGGGATTCACTGCTAGAAAATGAGAAAATAAATCTGAAAACCCAGCTGGCATTTTTTCCAAGTTTACTTATGCTTGGAGAAGGAACAGAGCACTCCAACAATAAACACCATCATTTGGTTTATCAGTTTAAAGCACACTACTTTACCTCTTGAGTCAGTCAAATCTTGTTTTCCTTGTTGCTTTTTCATTTCTTTGCACACTACTGAAATATCTGCCACTGACAAATCTTCCTTAGCATCAAACCAATACTCACTTCCTTCCTCATTTTTTACACAGCCTTGGCAGTTGGGATAAAAATTCAAGTGTTAAAATTCAAACCATGGTATGCTAAGAGTATCAGATTTCTGTGGTTCTAACTACTTACATCTCTTGGTGCTACATTTCAAAAATGTGACATTTATTAGTTTAATTAGAAACTTTTAAAAAGATGCAAGTAATAATACAGAGCTACTAATACTTATCAATAAATTTTGATAGCTGAATATAAACATTCCATCACAGAAAGGGCAGCTGTGTTACCATACACATGTTTGAAACAGGGTTTCTTTCCTCCCCTGAGAACTTAACTCACAAATAAAGGATTATTTTTACTAGGGGCAGATCACTCACCACGTTCCAGAGCCTCAACTTTAGGTTGTTCTTCCTGTGTCTCAGAGGAAGCAGAATCACCTGGCTGATCACCATCAGTCTGTGAGTTGTCCTACAAACACATTTCAGTTGTATCACAGCACTCCCAACTAATTATAAGTTATTTCTCAGAACACCGGCCCATGAAGCGGGTGAATTAAAAAAAAAGTTAAACCTGCTGATCATCCTCAAGAACCCCCAAGTTACTTTATTTTGAAAGGGCAATTAAAATTGTGAACACAGGAGCTGCATTGCAATTAGTGGCAGAGGATCCCAGGCTGAGAGCCCAGAAGACCCTGAACACATTTGCAGGCACCTAAAAGGAGAAAATACTTCTCAACATTACCATCTCCAAAACCCAGGAGTGAAGAATTCCCTACCATATTGACAGAAATCCCCTTTTCTTGCTGTTTTGAGTCTTCAAAGTCAGCTTTCCCTTCACCTGAAAGATCACTAAAACACATCCGAGAATTTCATACAAAATATGGGACAACAATTTTAAGTTCTACAGTAATCTAAATATTTCCAGAAGCTCACAATAAAATTAACATACTTAATACACCTTGGCTTTTTTCATTATATCTTAATAGTTTTCTGTGTGATGTTCAGATGTATTCCTTACAATTTGAAATACCACTGCAACTTGTACTAATTATTTACAAAACAATTGTCTTTGCTTTTTCTTGATTAACTTCGCTCATGGTTAATAGGAAACTTCACACAGTCTCTAAAAGTTTACCCAATTCAGTAAAAACTTACTGCCAAATTTGTTTTCATTTCCACTTACAGCAAGTCACTGGATGGGGTTCCTGAACATATTCTATCATGTACCTGCCTGAAATAAGTCATTTTTCTATTATTCTTCATAGCTGAATGATAATCTTAGCAAAACAGCTTCATATTATCTCTTAATATTATCTATATGCTTAATATTATCTCTGCTGGCAGCAAAGTCATTCTGGGTTTTTGTGGTGAGGGATTTTTTTGGGGGTTTTTTGTTGCTTAGTGCCATTATAACAGGAGACAAAGACTTTTAGTAGTGAAAGCAGGGAAACAGGAAAATGACCTGTAAATTGATAACTTTTACTATAAAGATGGTAAAGATATTCCCTGCTTTGCATACTAGAACACCACAGAGGAAAAATGCCCTTAAAATAAAACCATTGTCCCCAGAGGGCAATGCTGATCTTTTAGCTAAACAGCCTGAAACAACAAGATGTATTCCTGAAAGAAAGGAATTATAGGTTTAACATCTTATAAACTCATTTAACTTAGTAAGTACAACAACAAATGAAAACTACTTACTCAGAGTAGAGACTCTTTCTGAAAAACTGTAAAAAAAAAAAAGAGATTTATCTATAATTATCTTAATTATTAAACAATTTTTATTTAAAACATTAAACAGTTAAGAAATTACCTTGGAGGGGACGTAAAAAGAAGAGAGTGGGGAAAACTTCAGCTCAACTGACAGTGGTGGAAGTTCGTTTAAAGGTATGCCCATGCTTATTTTCCTTCTCATACTGCTGTAATTATTGTCCAGCACATCCAAAACCAACAGGAAAGATGAACGTAACTCAGCCTTATCTTCACATCTATTAAAATATGGGTAAAAAAGCAACATCAACTGAGACATTTCATTGATTTTACAGCTTTTGGAGATTTTACAGAAGTAAGACTTGGGGGTCCTCTGGACAACACCACTAATTATAAACACTCCTAGAAGCTATGGATAGAATCTACCAGTACCATTTAGCAACCTGCCTGATAACCAGTTACCCACTTTATTTTAAAGGACATTAAAGCACATGCCTCCCAAAAAAGGTGCTTTCCTCCAAAGCCAGCTTATAAACCTTCGAGCAGTGCTGGTAGCACATCTCGTAATGGATGGCCAGGAGCTGCAGCTCTGCTTCAGTTGCTCTCTGCAGGACATCCTGAAAGCAGCTTGATGCTGAACTCTTCCCAGTTTGCTTGTTGGCATGTTCTGGCCTTTAAAATAATAATAACAACAACAGAATATTTATTCCAGGGCTTCAAGATTTTGCTTATGTTCATGGTGTTTTATTTTGAAGCAAGGAGCTTGCCAGAAGCTATTTTTTATATGATTAAAGGAAAATCCTATTTAACCCACAATAATGATTGTATCATTACAGTCAGTTTTATCAGAGGTAGGAACTGCACAAGCAACATCATAATTTCTATCCAAAAAGTGAAGCCTTAAGAACAAAACGAAACTTAGCAATGCTGTGGATCTGCAAACACACTAATTTTGTTTCCACAGCCATGTAATAGTTTAGGCTGGAAAGGATCTCTGGTGGTCTACAACTGCAGAACAAGGCTGCTTTGGTCTTTGTTCAACTTCAGGAAGTCCTCGGCTCACTCTTCTCACCTGTCCAGGCTTCTGCAGCAGAAACTGCTGCCCAGCAAGCTTTTAATACCACCAGTTTTGCCAAGCCACAGACAACCTTTCAATCATGAAAAAACCTCTTATCCAGAAACTCAAATTCCAAAACCAAGAACAAACTCCTGACCCACCTGTCAGTGCCTGACTTCCACTCACAGACAGAGAGATCATCTTTGGATTCCTGCTTTAAAAAAAAAAAAAAAAAAAAAAGGCAAAAAGCCAAAAGTTAACAGATTAACACCCATGCAGACAAGTTAAAATTAACACAAGTTGTAGCAAGCTGGTCTGGTGGCCCTCCTTGCTTTATGTCAATTACCTGCACGTGTGAGCTGTGAGCTCTGACGGACCATTCCGTGCTGGAAGCAGCATCCACAGAGGTTTCAGCCAGCCGCCCCACGAGTCGAGTTTTGCTGATCATGGTCACCTCTGTGTTCACTGCCCTGGAGAAGGAACAGGCCTGGGCACTGCTGCTTCTGCTCATTGGGAAGGCAGCTCTGGAACCAGAGCCAGCAGCGACACCAGGAACGCTCCTCAGGGCTTCACCACGCTCCAGCTTCACAGCCCTGGGGCTCTCACCAGAGGATTTATCTGCAGCTTCCATGCCAGCAACAGGATTCTTGCTCAGGAGGGTTTCAGGGACTGGGAGCTGGGTTTCAGCCTCCTCTGCAGCACTGCTGGTACCACGAGTGCACACCACAGGTTGCTCACAGCTGCTGAAGCAGGAGGGCTCTGTGCGTTTGCAGAGCTGGGCCTCTTCCCTGGGCGGCAGGAGAGCAGTGGCTGGCTCCACTGCCACGCTCTGGGCAGGTCTTTCGCTCTTTCCAGAATCTTCTTCCCCCACTGCCATCCGGGGTGGCACCTTGTCACCAGCCAGTGGCATGGCCTTCACCTCTCCAACCTCCTCCTGCTCTGAAAACTCATTTGAGTTTTTCTTATCCTCCTCATAATCCTCGTAAGCACTGAGATACTCCAGCTGCGAGTCTTCCCCTAAATCTGCAGCCACGAAGGAGGTCTGAGTGCAGCAGCTCCTTTTGCTCCTCTTTTCCACTTCCATGGCTCTCCTCCTCCTCCGAAGGAATCACACAACTCACTGCCACTGCAACCTCTCAAAGTCACTGGTTTGGCTCTTCCTACCTTAGTAAAAATTAAGAGAAGTTGAAGATGCTCCATAATATACAGAAGGATAAAAAAATACATTAAATTAACCATCGTGTTTTCACCTACTGCACGCAATAAGCAGGTAGGAATTCTACAGCACGCTCATAAAGAAATCCCAAGAGCTGATTTCTGAATTGGTGGAATCCCTGTTGCATCATACAGCACACAAAGTGTTCAAACAAAAGTTACTTATATTAAGGAAGAGGAGAACTTTGAGCTCTGTGCCTCCCAAAAACTAAAAATCCCTTGGGTGTTGGACAAGGGGGAAATTAAAGCATGTTCTTCTTAATTCTGGGGAAGCAAGTAAAAAACAGGGATAAAACCCTGAGAATCTTTACAATCAGAAAGTTGTAAAGGAACACAGGAAGGTCATTTAGCAATAGAAGGAAGCTGGACAATTCGCCAGATTAAAGCAATACAACTGCTCTGAACTTGCAGCAAACCCCGTTTGGTAACAAACACCAACAAAAAGCAGAGAAAGCATGTAGGGATTGAAGATGCTATTTGTGAAGCTTGTTTCTTAGGAATATTGTCCATTCTTCTCTGCCTTCCCTCAGAAGCTTCTAACAAAGAAAGGAATACATAAAAACATTACCCATATTTCTAAATCACTGCTTTCCAAACTACTTAAATGACACATCTAAATTTCAGTCACTCTCTCTGACAGTCCTGGGGGGGAGTGGAAGGAGAAATAAGGATTAAACTTCAAATTTTCAAATATTCAAGCCTTCCACTATCCCACGCTGCTCCAAGCCCCATCCAACCTGGTCCTGAGCACTTCCATGGTTAAATTGTACACTTCTACAGTTATTTTTTTGCCTCAAAAACATTGTCCTTTTTTATTACATTAACTTTACTTTCACCCCCTAACTTAAGCCTTGAGCAACTCCGTGGAATTAAACAGCCAAACACTGCCAAAGCATATCCCAGACACCGGTACAGAAATCGCAACAAACTCACAGAGAAATCACTTTTCGCTTGAGAACAAGAACCAAAACACCTCCGCGCCCCAGCCAGCGTACAGCAACCCCCCTGTCGCTGCTGGTGATACACCCAAACTCTGACCCACAGCCGAGCCCGTCCCCACCGCAGCGCTGGCTGAAGGTGGGGAGCCCTGAGGGCAGCCCGGTGCTCCCGCTCGCTCCGCGGGACCCCTCAGACGGGAAAAGGACGTCTCACCGCAGCTCCAGAGCAGCCTGAGGCGCGGCCCCGCCGCCCGCACCGAGCCCCGACACTCCGCTCCGGCCGCCGCCCGCAGCCCCTCACGGCCCCGCCGCTCCCGCTCCGGCCGCCGCCCGCAGCCCCTCACGGCCCCGCCAGGCGCCCAGCAACGCCCGCCGCCGCGCCCCGCGCTCATTGGCTGCGGCGCGCAGCGCTCCGACGCCTGATTGGCTGCGGCGCGGAGCCCGCTCTCGACACCTGCACCTCCCCCGCCTTCCCTTGGAAAGAGGCGCCGCCGCGTCCCCTCAGAGGGGGTACCGCCATTTTCCCCCCAGAATCGGTACCGCTTTATCTCCCTAAAGGCGAGGTCCCCGCGTCCCCTCAGAGCCGGTATCGTCATATTCCCCTCAGAAGCGGTACCGCTGTGTCCCTCAAGAATCGGTGCAAGCCGTGTTCCCTCAGAGCCGTACCGCCATATCCCCCTAGAATTGGTACCGCCATATCCCCTCAGAAGCAGTACTGCCGTGTCCCCCCCCCATGGCTCTCCCCTCACGGTCCCTTCCCTCCCTTAATGAACACTTCTCTCCCCTCATGGTCCTGTCTCTCTCCTCATTGACCCTTCTCTCCCCTCATGGTCACGTCTCTCTCCTCATTGACCCTTCTCTCCCCTCATGGTCCTGTCTCTCTCCTCATTGACCCTTCTCTCCCCTCATGGTCCCTCCTCTCCCTTCAAGTTCCCTTCTCTCCCCTCACGGTCCCTTCTCTCACCTCTGACAGACCAAAGCACAGCCGGCGGGGAGGGAGCACAGCAGCTCTTGTACAGCTACTAGAGAATCACAGAATTATCCTGTGCTGCAAGGGACCCAAGAGGATCATGGAGTCCAATCCCGGCCCTGCACAAGACACCTCACTAATCCCACCCTGTGCCTGAGAGCATTGACCAAATTCTGGCAGCTCCTTGAACTCTGCTTTGTGGCCCTGACCATTCACTGGGGAGCCTGTTCAGTGCCCAACCCACCCTCTGAGGGAAGAACTTTTCCTAATATCCAGCTCTAACCTCCTCTGGCACACATTAAAACCTACCTGAAAGTTTCCAGCTGGAAGGAGCACATTACAGGAGTGGAGACAAACCTACCTGCCACAAAGGTCCATGTTACTTGTGCAAGGGGCTCTTGCTTCTTCCTTTTAGACACGTGTAAAGGTCATAATGAAGTGTGTAAAGCATCACTCAGTTGCTTAAAATGAACCTTCAGAGACATGCAGTGGTTTAGAGCATCTGAAGTGAAGACAAGCACTACCCTCCTGCTTAGTCACTTTCATCTAAGTGACGGCTCTGGCAACACATCAGGGCAAGAGGACATTTAATACTAAAGTAACATATTTTTGATGAACCTAGCTGCTTCCTGTTGTGAAGGGGTCTTCATGAAGGATTCTTCCAGGGAAAGCTATCGTGTAGGTTACCTCTATGCTCACCATAAATAAAAGTGGAGAATGAATCCAATCAGCAATCCCATTCACATTTCTCCTGATGGGGGACTGTCCCTGTCTTCCCCCTGCCCAAGTGCACCTGGCCATTAAAATGTCAAAATTTGGAGGTGTATGTGCACCCTGCCACTAAAAATGTTGATATTTGGAGGCATGTCTCACACCAGTGCCCTCAGTTACACAAGCCCCCAAATTTGTACATTTTCCAACTAGTGTTACTCACATTTTGCGTGATCCTGCAGCAACGTGTTGGAAAGGAAAATGAGTTGTTACACCCATATAACCCTGAATTTTCTGTATTTTCCAAGAGAACTTGTACTGGTAACATTAACATAGACAGACCACTCCATAAAAACTACCCAAACAAGTGACATTTTATTGGCGAGTTCTGCTCATAATGGATTTCCTTTTCCACGCTCACATCTCCTAACAGAGCGATTGGGGAAAAAAAACAACAGAACAAAACCAAAACCATTTCGGGTAACATTCCATTTGCAAGCAATAAAAATCATTTAACATTTAAAAATAAAATAGAGGATAACAAATTGAAACAGAGGTTGTAGGAAAACCCGTCCTGGTTTCCCCAGGAGCTGTTCCTCGCCCAGCTGCTGCCACCTCGGCCCCGCTCTCAGGGTACTGAGGTGCTCTCGTTTGGAGCTCAAATAATAGGACTGGGACATGTGCTATTATCACCATTCAAAGCCCTGTTGTTGTACATTCTTCACAGAAAAACATAGAACAGTTTGCAGTAAACCAACCAGTTCTTTTTCTTCCCTTATTCTAATGCTAAGTCATACTGAAAGTTAGGGGAGAGGAGGGGGAAATGTGGCTTCAACATTCACCTACTTTATCACACACAAAGGTTTCTACTAAGAGCATATCCAGGGTGAAATACACATCTGATTTCCGTCATGAGGTTGATGCTTATGGGGTGCGAGATGAAATCTACTTCGAAACGATAAACACATCCCTTTTCAATGAACAAAGTTATTTTTTGCCTTTTGGATCAACGCTTGGTTGCTGGGCTGTTTCCCCTGAGCCTTGCCAGGAGAGGCGGCTTTCAGTGCTGCCACAAATGAAATGATGACTGGCGGCAATCACACACCTTACCATTGGTGTCATATTTAGCACATTTGTTTGCCTTCTGAAAATTCCTTCACTCATTTTTTAGGCCCCCGAGGCTTTGTACACCAGAAATTACACAAGTCATGCACAGAAAATTGTAAATTGGTATCCACAGCCATTTTGAGGTATTCCACAAGAAACCTGGCTCTGCGCCTGAATGTTCCTCTCAAAAACAATTAAAAAAACAAAACAAAACAAAACAAAAAAACCAAAAACCCAAAGCCCTAACTGGAGTGGAAATTTAATTTTAAAAGATTCCTTCCAACCCTGTGTTTCACCACATTTCATCAACAAGGACATACTTAAATCCCCAGGGGCACAAAAAAAGCCTTCTTCATCCTTTTCCTAGAATAATAATTCCAGTACTTCATTCCTAAATTTCCTTGTGCACTTGAAAGAGATGAAGACGAGGGTGTTGTTTCCTAGCCAAACCAGAGAAACACATTCAGACAGCAGTTTTGGTTTACTTAATTTGTGAAGGTGCTCGAGGAAGATACCAGAGATCCCCTTGTGCTGGAAATAGCAGCAGTTCCTACTTTAACCTCCCATCTGCACGGAGGCTGGGGAAAGACCTGGATCACAGGGTCTGAAGACCGAGTTAGGAAGAAATGTGATCTCCTGGGTGTGGATTTGGCTTGGCAGAACCTCTTGGCCAGGAGATCCCAGAGGGACTGGCTTTCCTGTTAGGGCTGAGGTGGGACGGGCAGCTTTGCTCCTGGGGTAGCTGCTGCTCTCCTTTGAGTAGTGCATTCAGAGTGAGTTCCGATGAACCAGAGCTGTAGTGCCAGTCATGTGCCATTTGTACACATGCAGGAATCGCCTGCAACATCTCAACTGGTTCTGCTGTTCTGCATGAAAAGTGGACCTTAGAAGGAGATAACTCACTACTTCCGTAGCTGTAGAAAACCCATAGGCAGTAATATTTTCTAAAGTGCTTCTTTACTTAGCAGTTATTCTCTTAAAAATCAGACTTGTATTTTGTAGCGGCATCGTTTCCTAGTAGGTCATGGACCAGTAGATAGTTTCTGATGTAAAAAACCCATTACATATTTTGTTTAAGCAAATGACACTTGCTTTGATAAATGCACCAAAGAGAGTGACCTAAGTGCAAACCCCACCATTTCTGAAAACACGGCCTTAATGCTGGTTTATTAATGCAACCTTACATCCTTTAAAAGTAATTTACTTCAACTCCAAGAGCAGGGATTAAATAATACAAATAAAAATTGAAAATTCAATGGAGCTATTGCCTATTTACCCTGAAATAAAAGAGTCTCACAATTCTACTGGTGCAAAAATCCCTCCAAACACATTTGTTTTATTGGCAAAGTCATTTAAGGTCACTTTTGCTTCCAAGACCATCTTCTTCCATGGTTTCCACTGAAGGAGTTTTGCTTTGTAATGGCTTATGGTTCCACAGTGATTTGTAAATGAAAAACCTACTATGAATAACTCTACCGTAGTCACTAAATTACAGATACTGTCATGAGAAAAGTCCCAAACTTACAGTGTTTGTTTTAAAATTTTCAGCAAGACACAAAATTCCAGTCAAAGTGTTTTCTTTGAGTGCCATTTTAAACGGCAATAAATGGCTGCTGTGCCCTCTGGATGGAGAATTCCGTGTGCTTCTTATGTGTTGTACTTCTAATGTCCCCAGAGCTCGGTGTGGAAGGGCTCCCGCGGGCACAGCCACTTGGATCAGCTCCTCCTATGGATGTAGTGCAGCAGGCTTGGATCTGCGCGGGGAGACCCCGGCTGGGAGGCACGGAGCAGGTGTTGGGGTGGCCTGGTCTCAGAAGGCAATGACACGAGGCGTCCTGGGCAGCGGGACGCAGAAGCGGCTGCGGCGTCGTTCCGGTTCCGAGCAGCGGTGGTTCCCTGGGAGGGGGTGGCTATTGCTGGGACAGCAGAGCGCTCCGGTTGGCCTTCATCTTCTCCAGCCGCTTCACCAGGTGGCCATTGCTGACCTCCAGCTCCTCGGTTTTGTCCAGTGCTGAACGAAGCTGAAGGAAGGAAACAGAAGAACACCGTGACTTTCACCGTGTTATCCCTTTGCAAAGGCAAAGCAAGGTTTGTAGGTGCCAACGCTAACTGACCACATTAACTTGGAACATAAAGCAGTTGAAAATTCCTTTAGCAGAGTTAAACTGCTTTGCAGGTGACACACACAGGTGTTTAAGCACACTGCCAAGAACCCAGGGTATTTACAGAATGCTGAGCAAAGGTGGCCGAGGTAAGAAGAAAAGTGGTCTCCCAAGTCTGGATTTGGCTTAATAGAACCATGTGTCTTGAGACAATCAGTACGGACAGAAGGTTACTCCTGTGGAACAGGAGATTCCCAGAGAATCACAGAATTTTCCTCAGTCCAGAAGCACGAGGCTCTGGGTGATGTACGCCTGTCTCACTGCACAGCTTTTATGTTTCTGGTTCCTAGAACTCTATTCCCAGCTTGGAGCCTCAGTTTCCTGTAAAACCCACCACGGGATCAGGGCAGGGAGAGA